CTTCAACCCTAGTAATTTCTTAAGGACAAGAAACATGCTTGATTCATCTTTCTAAACTCCTTATCATAACTTAGCACTTTGCCTTGCATATAACAGGGCACTTAACGAATAGCTGTTGGATGAACTATATCGCCCAAAGATGGCAGATATACCGGGCATTTGGGTCTAGGGCCTTCCTTCTAGCCCCAACCTGAAATGTACTGAAAAACAGCCTCTGCCTAATTGGGAAGGATTCATGCAACCTTCCCCGGCTTGCAGTGAGGAAGGAGGGAAAGGACACAGCCCAGCCAGCCTGACCGGGGAGAACACTCACGGTGACCGGCAGGAAGGCAGAAGCCAGAGTCAGGGGATCCTCCCATTCAACCCGGAAATCTCTGTCGTGAACGGGACGCACGTTCTGTGAGCCAGTGTTGGATGTCGCAGAATACAAGGGCCGCAGGGGACTCAGTCCCATACCTGAGCACAAACAGAGGCACCTCTGTGAATAAAAATGACATCAAATTTGGCCACGGAGTACACAGTACACCTCACTGTTGCTTAGAAATTATCTTAGCGGTAACAGCAGGCAAGAAGGAGAAAAGTCAAACACCCGTAAACCTGTCATGCAAACCTCAGGAAGGGGTCTCGCCTTAACATAAGGGGGTGCAGAGTCCCAGTTCTTTTTTTTTTTTTGAGACAGAGTCTCGCTCTGTCGCCCAGACTAGAGCACCGTGGTGTCAGCCTCGCTAAGAGCAACCTCCAACTCCTGGGCTCCAGCGATCCTCCTGCCTCAGCCTCCCGAGTAGCTGGGACTACAGGCATGAGCCACCATGCCCGGCTAATTTTTTGTATATATTTTTAGTTGTCCAGCTGATTTCTTCCTATTTATAGTAGAGACGGGGTCTCGCTCTTGTCGAGGCTGGTCTCGAGCTCCTGACCTCGCGCGATCCTCCCTCCTCGGCCTCCCAGAGTGCTGGGATCACAGGCGTGAGCCACCGCTTCCGGCCCACTTTTTGTAGAGTTGGGGTCTCGCTATGTTGTCCAGGCTGATCTCAAGGGAGCCTCCCTCCTCGGCCCCCCAGAGTGCTGGGATCACAGGCGTGAGCCCCCGTGCCCGGCCGAGCCCCACTTCTCGATTGTCGCGTTTCTGCGTCACTCTCTGCAGGGGGAATTGGCTGCATAGGTGAGGACAGGGGCCAGATTCTGCAGTGCCTTCACGTCGTGGAGATCTACAACGTGGATTGGGACTTCTGGCGCGAGGGCGCCCCCCTGCCAAGTACCCTCGTGTCACTGCGAACCAGTTCTACCAGCGCAGGAGTGGTGGGCGGCAAGATCTACGTCTGCGGGGGATTCCACGGAGCAGGTACTGGTCCTGTCTTCAGTGTTCTGAATCCTCCTTTGGTGTTGGTTTGACCTCCCGTCCCCTCCCGCCACCAGAATCACGAGCCAACCAAGCCTGTTTTCTTTATAAGCTATCCGGTCTCAGGTTTTCTGTCACCGCGACACGAAACGACTGAGACGGTGCCGTTTGCACGTTTTCCGTACCGCGACGATGACTTCTGAAGGTCATACCCCATGGGACTCTTGTCTTCCTGCTCTGCTGTCTTTCAGATCGCCAGGAGGTGATCTCCAAAGAAATCCTGGAGCTGGACACCTGGGAGAGCGAGTGGAAGGTCGCAGCCGACAACGTCCTCATGCACGACAGCTACGACGTCTGTCTGGTGGCCAGAATGAACCCCCGCGACCTCATCCCGCCTCCTGCAGACCTGAGGGAGGAAGGCGGTGAGCACTGAGCGGGCGTTGCCGGGCCTTCAGCGTGGCGGGGCCCCCGGCACCCACCGGCCACGCCAGACACGTGCCTTGCATGCGGGGTGGCCCGTGTGACGCAGCCGGGAGCTGGGGGCTGGAGGGCGGCACGCAGAGCCCGCCTGGGGCACCTGGCGGTGTCAGGGGACAGATAAGAGTCCGCCAGGCGGAAGGGGTTGTGGCCGCAGGAGGGCGGGGAATGGAGGACCCCGCTCTGCTGGGGCCAAAGGACAGCGTCGCCAGGGGGCAGACCTCAGATCGGGCCTGAAGAACGGGGAGGAGGCAGTCCCACAGGTGCCGGTGAGGATGCTGTGGCGGGAACAGCCCAGCAGGGGCCCAGAGGTGGGACAGCCCTGGCCTGTGGGCAGCCGGATCGCCCGGGGCACGGGCTTGCTCCTGCGGCTGCAAAGGTAGGTTGTAGCGAAACGGCCCAACCCTGTTTGGACCCCGCCCCTGAGCAGGAAACGGTCTCAGCAGAGTGGTGTTGAAGGAGGACTCTGTCTGCTCCGGCGTCAGTGTCATCCGGAACACCCTTCTGCTGCGGCGACACCACCCGACGGCGCCTCCGAGTTCACGACCGCCCAGGCACTCAGGCCGGACCGCGGTGGGCAGAGACGTCCACCCCGGGCTGAGTCTCCGTCCGGGACAGACGTTGCTGCCAAGCCCAGAGTAGGCCAGGGGCACCCCGGGCTGGAGTTCCCACGTCTCAGACATGCACAACCTCCCGCAGCCTGGCCCTGGCCGAGCACACAACTGGCCTCGGCCACCCACCCCAGGACCCCTGGCTGCGGGGAGAGGAAGAAACATCGCTCCCTGCCTGCCGCCCCTTGGCCCAGCCTTGGCGACTTCCCCCGGCGTTGCAGGGTACGGAGGGAGCCACCTGCCTCAGCCCACAATCGAGTGTAACTGGGATACAGCCGCCCTGCAAATTTTTTTTTTTTTTTTTTGAGACAAGAGTCTGGCTCTGTCGCCCGGGCTAGAGTGCCGTGGCGTCAGCCCAGCTCACAGTGACCTCCAACCCCTGGGCTCAAGCGATCCTCCTGTCTCAGCCTTCCGAGTAGCTGGGACTATAGGCGTGCACCACCATGCCCGGCTAATTTTTTCTGTATGTTTTTAGTTGTTTGCTAATTTCTTTCCATTTTTAGTAGAGACGGGGTCTCGCTCTTGCTCAGGTTGGCGTCGAACTCCTGACCTCGAGCGATCCTCCCACCTCGGCCTCCCAGAGTGCTGGGATTACAGGCGTGAGCCACCACGCCCGGCCCATTTTTTGTAGAGTTAGGGTCTTGCTATGTTGCCCAGCCTGGTCTCAAGCGATCCTCCCTCCTCGGCCTCCCAAAGTGGTAGGATGACAGGCGTGAGCCACCGCGCCGGACCCCCAGGTATATTTGAAATGATACACGGAAAATCCATCTCTCTTACTTACCGTCTGTATTTCTGGAAGCAAAGTGGATTCAAAGAAGACATTTTGGTTGCTGTCCTTCAGCCACTTCTCCAAAGAGTTTCATGTCGCATAGGCTCTTTGGGAAGCAGGGGTGGGCGGTAAATTCACTAGGATTTTGCAGGAGGCAGACAAACCCTAAGCTGAGGGAGCAGCTCCTCTTTGGCGCCCAGCTGTGTGACTGTGATTGTCATTAGCCCGTGTCCCCAGGTTCCAGCTGCCAACCAGGGAGGCGAGGCAGGCCCAGCAGAAACCGGAGCCCGTTGGAGACCTGTTTCTGCCACCAAGGAGGGGGAACATGGGATCCAGCGTAGGTTGTCCCCATAGGCAGGAGCCGTGCCTGTCTCTGCAGTTGTACCCCAAGCGCCCTGGCAGTGCCTGACACACGGCTCGGTCTTTGGGCAGCCGGAATACAGCAGTGTCCCCAAGCCCGAGGGCACAGTCCCCAACCATGTCTGCGTATCTGAGTCCAATTGACCTCCTTCTTCTCCCTGGTGGGGAGGGTCGTGCTCCGTGGTTTCTCTCTACTGCAAAGATGAGCCGTTCCTCGGAGCTGGCTGTCACCGCCAGGGTTGAGAACGGCCTCCTCAGGGTCTCTGCTTCCCCAAGTTCCCGTCACAAAGTCACTGTGCCTGCCCCACCTACTGGAACATGCCGGAACCTGCCACAGTTCCCTGCACCGAGGAGGCCTGGCGGGCACATCTTCTAGATGCATCGGGTTGGAGATCCGGGCTCTGGTCCCGGATCTGCCACTGAGCCACCCGTGTGATCTTGAGCACCGTGACCTTCCTGCAGCCTTATTTTCCTCTCCTGCAGAATGGGAAGGAAAATACCTCGTAGACCGTGTAGCGTTGGTGTGAGCATTGTACCTGTGTGTGAAATGTTAAAACAATAAACGTGTTTCATAGCTGCCATGGTTGTCACTGTCATTACGATGTAACCAGCATTTCCCAAAGCAAAGCGCTCTACAGGACAGGGACTCGCATGGAATCTCCTGGGGTTTAGGGAGACACGTGGACGTGGCTTCAGGTGGCTCCTCCAGCTGGTGGCCGAGAAACACGCCGGGGTTTGCTCAGCTCTGAGACCCCTGGTGCCTTAGAGGGACACCTTCAGGGGCCCCTGAGGGTCACATCAGGTGAGACCATCACCCCCCTGTGGGAGGCAGGATGGGGCGAAACACCTTTCCTGTCTAATCTAATGGGAGGTCTGGAAAGCGTCAGAATGGAGCCTTCCAGAAAGTGCTGGGAGAGAACAGAGGAGAGGACACATGACCTCTGCCCGGAGCCGGGACAGTCGGTGACCGGTGGCCCAGAGCTGGTTTAGCACCGAAGGTCAGGAAGGCGTCAAGAGGTGGGTTTTCTCGAAGTTGTTCTGCGGAATCCCTGGGACCCAGGCGGGAGCCTCACGATTTTCAAAGGTCTGATCTGAGCTCACCTTCGGTTCTGTTTCTCGCGCTTGCGTTAAGCTCTGGCGCTTCCCGACTTTGCTGTTTGCAATTAGAAACAGCGCAGCCCTGCCCTCCTGCGGTTAGATACCGTTAGAGATCCAACTAGGAAACGTTTCTCTACCGACTCCTGTTTGCACTTCAATACAGGGCTGTCCCAGTATCGCGTGGCGGGCTGCTGTAAAACGCCTGCCCTGTGCTAGTTCTTGTCCTTGGGAAACGGGGTCGTTTGACGCTGACCAATGAAACGCAGCGGGGAAGTCATTCGGATGCTGAAACCAACAAAAGACCGCAGCTGTTAACCGTACCCCCTGCCCCCGTTTGTGTTCAACGAGAGAGCATCATTGTTCCCGCTGATTGGCTCCATCCTGAGCAAATGCTTTCAATTTGGCCTCAAAAAATAAATTTTTACTAACGAAAGATTGCTTACAGTTGGTTTTTTATATTGCAATTCTAGGAAATGCTCAACATCCCCCGGGGGTGCGGGGCAATGACCAGCCGGGGGCTAAGCAGCCGCAGAAGCCCAGGGTCAGGGCCTTGTGGCGGGCAAGGGGCGGCCAGTGGAGCCGTTCCCGGGGCTGCGGCATGGCAGGGTGTCCAGAAAGGGAGACCAGGCCAAGCCAAGGCACTTTGAAAGCCACATCAAGGAGGTGGCTCTTTATGCCCCAGCAACAGGGATCCTTCTAGAACATCCAGCCCCGTGTAGCTGAACAGGGCGGAGCAGGCCCGGCAGCCTGGCAACAGGCGGTGGCGGAGCCCTGCGGGGAACCCTGGCCAGCCCAGGAGGATGGCTTGAGCCCAGGAGTTTGAGGTCGCTCTGAGCCAGGCTGACGCCAGGGAACTCACTCTAGCCCGGAACAGAGCAAGACTGGTCTCCAAACAGTAGAAGTGTTGACATCTCCATTGAACCGTCATCGTTTAAGGCGACAACTCTTTAGCGTATCTTTTTCAAATGCTTAACCACTGCCTTGTTTTCTATTACAGTGAACACACATACCTTACCAATTTCCAAATTATTTCTGCAGCTCTAGTCCTTCAAGCTGTCCCCAACGCTCCAATATTCTTTACCTAATCTGAAGTTCTTTGTGATATCTGATGTGTCGTGGTAAGTATAGTTTATTGAGAAACAGAAACGTGAGATTTCCTTAACTTAGATCTTGTACTGCTTTATCCAAAGTTAAATCTGGTAACAGTGCCGACTGGAAACATCCAAATTTTTCCTAGGCTTTTGGCTGGAACTCCGTACTCTCTCTAGGTGACGCTGACATTGTTTTGTGTGTGGAATCCAACACGGTAAAATATTCCAGTGGCATCTTTATGGGAGTATTTCTGAATGAAATACGATTTTTTTCTTGTTGAATAAATTGTATTTAAATGTTTCTCAGTGCTATAAAATCGACAAAAACCATTATCAGATCCTAAAATCTGCATTTTAAGCAAATTATTAATCACTTTGTGAGATAAATGAAGCTTTTTTGATGATCTGAAACGTACTGCCTTGATTTACATGTTTTTCAAAAAGTTGTTTTCTCCTTTGGATGCATGTGTTTTTTTAACAACTGGGTACACAAGTACAATGCAATATCAATACCGATATTATTCCTTTTGAAGTTCTATTAAATATTTGTGTGGAAATGCTCAATTATATTTAATTATAGTGTTAAGAATTCTCACAGTACCTTCTAAATCTTTTTGATTGCTTTGTTCTC